TGCCTCACCTTCAACCTGCTGTATCCTACTGGTCACGGCTTCTCACTAGAACCTCAGGTTAACTGCCTGAAAAGGGCCATTTGATTCCGTCGTTTTCTAAAATCCTGTGAATTGTAAAACCTTTAATCTTTCAAATGAACATGAAAATGATTTGTAAGGAGACACGTGAACGCCAGGTATAATGAAGAGAAACTGACAGCAGTTAAAAAAAAACAACTGCCACTAAAATTGCTATTTAATGGGGACGTGGCTAGAGAAGTCCTACATCTAAGATTATGGAGAGTAATAAAAACGGACCTATACTACCGCCAACCTTTGTTTGTCATTTTTCAGACGGCCAACCAATCATGATAGTGTCAGTCCTATGTGTATCTACAAATTTTGTTGCTCCTGAGGAGAGAGCTATATAGGGTGAACAACTAGACAGCTTAACAAACGCATTAATGAGCATCTTCCTTAATGATTCGGCAAAAAGACAAATAAAATCTATAAGAAGTTCTATTTTGACTCATTTGATTGATGATAGTGGTCACCAGGTGGATAGAAGAAGTGCCTGCAAAGTTACCTATAGCATTTCATAGGACCCATCGAACGGAATTCGAACCCGCCTGTTAAATACATAGCCGAAGCTATGGGAATTAATTCGACAGAACACTCCTAGTCTTTGCATACGAAAAAAGAAGTTTGTTCTACCTTCGTCTCTCCCTTGGCCTAGGTAAAGTCTTATTAAAACCCTCCCCCCGTTTCTTATTTTCCATTTCCTTCGTACTTTCCTGATATTTATTTAAACTCTGATTAACTGTCCACTTCATCTTTAGTATTACGTAACTTTTAAGATTTGACCTAATTTATTTATTGAATTATCTACATATACACACATATTACTACCTTCTTTATTCTTATCGCCACGTGCATAAACCTTATCACTATTTTGTCATCATTATAATCATCGTTATTGATGACATTCAAAACATTTACCACATTATTATTATTTGATCCACAAACTCACCGTCACTGGTTGAAATTTTTGTTTTAATGAGTTTAATCACGGATTGATTGATATCAGTTAGAGAACCACTGAAAAAAACCCAGCTGGGAGTACTCGACAGCTGTTCTCTCCGTCCTAGATTGCGACTCATCGAAAGTACGCACCCACCACCAGGAGTTGAACCCAAGACCGTCCGGTTACAAGGCAAGCTGGTATACTTTTCAGCCACCACTGGGACCCAACTCCTCAATGGCCAGCCAGCCCATAAATTCTAACTTCTACCAATTCGTGAAGAGTTTAACTGGACCGCTAACCAATGTCATCGGTGGGACATCCATCCTCATACTTCACTGGTTGGGAGACCACACTGGTCACTACCTCTCACTAGTAAATCTAAGTAAATTAGAGTAAAGCCTGAAGAAGATATAATTCAAAACAGCAATATTGTTCGCTTATATTCGCTTATAATAGAATAGGTAGTAGACAACTAGTGTCATTTAGCTGGTACTTTGATAACTGCAGCCCACTGGGTGATACGAGTTTGAATCTCAGAGAGGATATGAATTGCTTCAAGACTGCAAGTGCGCCTCGCAGACTGATGAGTGCTAAAATGTACGAAACTTAGGCCGGATGAGGCTTCCTATTGACTTATTGCAACCATCTAACGACGACTTTTGTTTTACGCAGATTCACAAAGGCGTGAAAATTTTAATTCTCTTTAATTACAACCTCCTTTTAGTATAATGTGAATGGTTTCTGTTTGTGATAGGGCCTGTGCTACTTGACTTCGTTAGTGCTCAGTGAATTCCCAGAGAGAGGGAGAAAGAGTGGTGAGCATAGACTCCACGATGGCCGACACATCATATTCCGAACTTCTCAGACAAACACTGATGTTTCCTGGTTAGTGTTGCTGTTCTCAATAAGACTCATTACAGGTACCCATAATTTCAGCAGTCTTAGCATTGCTCGTCAGTTGCTTAATTAAGGAACTTGAGTCAAATATCCTCCTACCAACAATCAATCGGTTGGAAATTTACCAGTGGTATGTGGATGATTCCTTTATCATCATCATCATCGAGAAAAATACTGACCTAATCTAGATCCTGCAAATCTTCATCAGCGCTGACTAGTGAATCAGTCGAACTCAAAACTGAAGCGGAATCAGAAGATAATTTATCCTCCCCAGGTGTCAAACTATCACAGTTTTGTCCCAATGAGTAGAAGAAAAAGTCTTATCGCTTCTCTTGAGACGAGAATCTACTGTAAGTATATATATGCACAGAAGTGAGGATACATTGATTAAGAAATTGAAGTCCTTCAGGAAAACTCTAATCAAAAATTGATATTCAACCTCCTTCATCGACAAACATCTGAGGAGACAAGCCGATACTCCTCAAAAGCTTGATGTGACGAAGAAACAAGTGATTGCAAATCTGAAATTCAAGGATGATACAATTAATGAGGTTCTCCAAAGGTACCTTTTTGAGAGCAATCTGACAAACGTCCTTTGATGCATGTCTATGTCTTGCCTTCTTTACATATGCTGTTATTCTCCGAAACGTCAAAGATCATATCCCGCTGTTGTCGACTTCATTGTCTATTATTTACCAGTCCATCTGCTCCTGTATAGCTAAGTACATTGGCTGTATCAGCAGAATATTTGTCTAGACGTGTCCATGAACACTTACCAGCATGGTTGTCACAAGGAGAACGTAGACAAACCAATAGTTCAATTCTAGAGTGTATTATTACTTCATAGATAAAATACAACCAAATCGTTGATAATAGATAGTTGGAGGAAGGAAGCTTTAGACACCTAAGGTTCGTGTAAGTTAGCACTCATCAGTCAGTAAGGCGTATCTGCAGTCTTGAAGGAACTTATGTCCCCCATCCCCTGAGATTCGAACCCGTGTCATCCAGTGAGTGCTGCAGTCACAGATGTTACTACTGAGCTACTGAGGCTCGCAACTGATCTCCTGTAGGACTGTATTCGATACTTTTGACTGGACACTAGTTACTCATTGATGTTCAACCAAAGCCGAGTCGTTTGGAAGGATTTTGCCCACATTTTCTTCATGCAGCTGAAGCCTTCCTTTGCAATCTTTAAGGAGAAACGTGAACTCTGTGTTCAGAGTTGTTTTTATCCAGCCTCTTTTATTACCATGGCCTTAGTGCTAATGTTTATTTGTCTTCCTTCTTTATCCTCTTGAATAACGAACTGTAGAATAAGCTGTCTGTTGATCGTTTTATGTTTTTCACAACTTGTGTTCAATCTCTTCTTCCCTTGTCTCTTATCAAACATTTCCAAACCACCATGTACCACTCAGTCGATTGGCTGTTAACCCTCTTGATTACGTAAGAGTATCCTTAATTTCTCAAACATAGTTATTACTATTAGAAGGTTGGAGGCAGTCAGCCACAGGAAGCCTTGGACACCTACCAGTCATCAAGGCGTATCTTCTACCTCAAAGGAGCTCATGTCCCTTCTGAGTAGATTCGAACCCGTGTCACCCAGTGTGCTACAGTCAGAGACGTTATCAATGAGCTATTGGGGCTCGCAGTTGATCTCCTGTAGGGACTGTATTGGATATTTTTTTGATTGGACACTGGTCAGTGACTGGTTAATACTCAAACGGATCAGAGACTTGGCCAGCGCGTCATGAAGAGCACTTTGAACAAACTACAGACCTTCATCAACAGCTGTCTTCGCTCAATTCTACTCAGGATCAGATAGCCAGCCAGAAAACATCAGCAATAGAGATCTCTGGCAACAAGCGGACCAACCCAGCAGGAACCAATCGTGCAACAAATATGCATGCAGGAAGAAATGGAGGTGGGTTGGCTGGCCATACTCTGAGAAAAAAAACACCAAGTGAGGGACATTACACGCCAGGTCATCGCTCGAGTGGAACCCGCATGGGAAGCGGTGAGTTAGTCGTCATTGCGATGATGACATGGAGGAGGAGGTGATGTGAAGAGGAGATGAAAGCATGTGGGCAGACGTGGAACCAGGTGGAAAGGTTGGCAGAGAACCGAAGGCAACGGAGACGTTCGGCTGAAGCCCTATATTCCTCTAGGGGGATTAAAGGAAACAATAATAGTAATAATAATAAATGTACTTTGATTTCGTTTATTACTACCTGACAACTGACCTTTTACCTTTGTTTTCAATCTATACTGCACATATAACTGTACAGCTATGAATCGAAGTAACGCAAAGACATCTCTTTTGCTGACTCATAATTTATTATTATTGCCAATAATAACTAATAAGTATTACATGAGACATATCAATTTTGAATAGTGCTCGATAAACACTTTTAAATACAACCACAAAGTTAAAGAAAGATTATTGGGTAAGTAAAATTAAAAAAAAATTTGAACAACCCAGAGTGAAAAATCAAATTAACCAAGGTTTCAGATAAATTACATCACAATAAAAACTATCCGTCTCCTTGCTCATTTTACAATATTTAAAGGTAATCAATATTCTGATAGACTCTGTAACTGAACGGAACTACTGAGATGATTGGGGAGACTGAAGTTAGAAAGTTACCTGAAGCACAACTGAGATCGAGGTGTACTGAGCTGTCAGTCGTACAATTAAAAAAACTCCGTATCGTCGTTGTACTCCATTGGTTGATCTAATACGTCAAGGAATCACAACATGTGTCAGTTTCACTTAACACTCACTCCCAATTAGAATCAAATTACAACATATGTATATTTATAAGTAGTATATATAAATTTAAGTAGTTTGTAAGGCAAAGAATAAAAATGCAAAGACTCAGACAAATTTCAATAGATTGTCATTATATATTTAAATTTTTCTCTAGAAAAATTCAATATGAAAGGCAAAAATTAAAAAAAGGTACCACTGAGGTAAGTGAAGATTTGGTTGGATTAAGATAATTTGAAAAAGATGAATAGGGTGGGGTGGTGTGGGGTGCTTGTATTGAATGATGATAGTTATCGTTGTAATTAAAATTATATGTATGTATATTTAATCCATTCATCGCATACAGCCAAGTATACCAAGTGATGCTGGTTTTGGATATCCAGGACGTGTACGCATTTCTATATTATCGAATACATAATAATTTGTTCCTTCAAAAAATAAAGTTTCATCTGTATAGAAAAGAAATGAAGAAAAAAAAGAATTAAGAAAGAAAACTTCAATTAATTTTGGTGCAATGGTGGCTAGCAGTGAAATCGATCAGGATGCGCCACATTTCGTCCTGTTTGGGACTCATCAGCCTAGTGGATGTACCTACTCCACCGAGACTTGAACCTGGTACCCTTCGTTTCAAACGCCAAAGCGCTGGCCACTAGACCATTAGGGCCATAACAGCCACCATAAATCCTCAATGGCCAATGTATGAATTCGAGCTTCTAATAATTTGTGATTTTAGCGTGACCACTGCCAGCCAGTATCATCGGTGAGTTGCCTGAAGTTCTAGTGAGAAGTCGCAACCAGTGGGGCCTACTCGCTCTGGAGTGAAGACAACTACTCGCTGCCGATGACATTATCCGTCTGTGGTCACACTAAAATCACGAATTAGTAGGAGTTAGAATTCATGTGTTGGACATTGAAGACTTGGGGTCCCAATCGGTAAATGATCTACGAGCTTGCTTAGTAACCGGAAGGGTCTGTGTTTCAAACTCCTGGTTGGATGCGCATTGCCGATAGGTCCAAAACAAGAACGGAGGAAACGGCTGCCCAGTACTCCAAGCTGGTGGTTTCCAATGGTTCTCTAACTGATATCAATCCGTGATCAAAGTTGAAATATTTAATGACAGTCGGAAAGTAGTCAGCAACCAATCACAGAAGACTTAACGTGTGTTAATAAGATTCACAGATAAATGGCTTAACCTTCTGAGAAACGGTCACAATCAGTACAGAATAACCTTGACCAAGAAAACAACCAATAAGAAGACGTTGCTTCTCTGCTGATAATAATGTACATAACAATCTATAAATATCTCTTGATTTTCTAAAATCATCTGTTGTCTAGCCTTTGCCTTCTGTCGTCACAAGGGCACAAAACCTACAGTCGAGATTAGCTTTCAAGTACAATACCAAAGGGATCAAACTCACAGATTTAATATATTCCCTTTAGCTTCATTATTGCTGACTAATAGCACACTGAAAAACTTAATTAAATTTAGCCTGGTGGAGCTGTCGATTTGGATTTCGGTCACGAATTCATAATAACTACAGAAGTTTTTAAAAGTGTTCTTCTAGTTAAGGACACTTCGTACATACTTCGCCGCTGCATATCAACAATTATGTGGGAATATAGTGCAGGATATCCGAAGTCAGATAGGTACCCAGCGAAGAAACTCAAAGAATCTGTCATAATTACGTATTACTGATGAGTCCCAAAGTGAGACGAAGCATCTTTTTGATGTTTCTTGATTTTCACTGATAGTATTGGTAGTTTTGATTTGACATATATTTTCTAAATCAGTCAAATAATAGACACTGACCATGTCACTCACTATGTTGCAGTCAGCGATGTTACAGTTGAGCTATTGGGGCTTGTGAATGACCTCCTATAAGATTGAATTAGATATTTCGACTAAAGGAATTCATTTTGAACCCAACAAGGGATTAGACGCATGATTCTAGTTACTTACTGCCTAGTGTTCAATCAAAGTTTCAAATGTACTCCCACAGGAGGTCAATCGCAAGCCCAAATAACTCAGTGACAACTTTACTGACTACAACACACTGTGTGGCACGGATTCGAATCTCATGGGGTGGGGGACATGAGTCCCTTCAAGATTTCAGATGCAACTTATTGATTTGTGAGTTCCAACAAGCATGGAATGTAGGTCGAAGACTTTCTGCTGACCGCCTTCAACCATCTAACAGCTCTGTTTATGCAGATCTATCTGTTGAGAAGTTGAAAATATCTGGTCTGTGAATAGATTTTCTAAAGTGGGAAGTTTTCAAGCAGTCAGTTTCAAACAATAAGCTAACATAAATTATGATTTCTGTTACTCACCATGTCTGGAATAAGAAAATCCCTGCACATTTGGATTGGATTCTGCTTCTCTACCCAAAATATTGATCAATTGGTTTGATCACGAATGGACATCAGTTAGAGAACCACTGGGAAACCAGCCAAGAGTAGTGGACAACTGTTTCATCCAACTAGTTTGGGACGCTTCAGCAGTAAGCACTTACCGCCATTGGTTCAGACTCTGGACATTCCTGTTACAAATAGAGTGTATTGACTATTCACCCAGTGGGGCCAAATCTAGTGGCTAGCCCACAAATTCCAGCTTTTGCCATTTCGCGATGTATAATGCGCAACCATCAGCCAATGTCATCGGTGAGCGACTGTTCTCTTACATGACTTCATTGACCCCCACTGGTCACGACTTCTCACATAAAACTCCAGGCAGATAACTTCCTGTGTACAGCTAGCCGGTCGCTAGTGAACATCAAATTAACTATAGAATGTCGTTCAAGCTACAAATTCGAATCTCAGTTGGTGCGTGCTAAAGAAGAGTCCCAAATTAGGATGGCGGAAGGGAACAGCTGTCTGGCAGTACTCCCAGCTGGTTTTCCAACAGTCCCCTAGCCGATGTCAGTTCATGATGAAGCCCTGAGACCACTCACTTGAATATCACTAGAACTTGTTGTAAAATATTTAACATAAAACTCAGGATGGAGCAATACACCCTGTGTGTAATTGAGTTCCATGTTCCACTTTTATGAAAATTTAGGAAACAGTGCATACACTAGCTGTTTATGATGTATTTTTGTGAAGGCAATCAAATTTGACCAGAAATAGAAAATAACTGGGTACAAATGACTATTAAAAATTATTTTACCAGTATTTAGAGAAACATACTGGCCACACGCTGATACTGATGCGGAGAAATCAGGAAAGCCATATGTGCATATATCTATGTATATGAATTAGTTGTTGGACTTCATAGGATAACTGGCACAATAAAATATGAACACAAATCAATTGAAGCCCAAAATGAAATCCATTCTACTTCTTTTTTTAGTGATGCCTACCTTGAGACTGATCGACTAATTAACTGTGTGTGTGTGTATTTTTGTGTAAAAAAAAACCATCAGTTACTTCCCAGACTATCAGTCCTTATAGTTCATGTCTTCTGGTACTGTCTCTGGAAGTACATATACCAAAAAATGCCTACGTCTCAAGGGAATGAATGCTTAAAATAGTGCCGTTGTCAGATATCTCATAGGTCATGAGGTAGACATTGAAAAATCCCTTAAAATTAACGGTAGACAATATATATATATACATACATATATAAGTACATATAGATATATCCACTCGAGGGCCTGACGCGCGATATCACCCAGCGGCCTTCTCACCTCAGCGAGTGTCCAATCCATCTCCACTTTCTCCTGCATACTTGTTGAGCGATCGGTTCTTGTTTTGTTTCTTCCCATAGTTTCTTGTTGGTGGTTCTTTCCGGCCATCTGATCTTCAGTATAGAGCCAGCGAAGACAGTTGTTGATAAAGGTCTGCAACAGGCTGTTGGAAATATTCTTTGTGACACACTGGCCAAGTTTCTGATCCATCCGTATAGAAGAACTGACTGACTTGACGTTTGTATTGAAAATCCGAATTTTGTTGTTGATGCTGAATGACAGCGGAAGATTTCCAGATTGGTTTCAGGTTGATGAATGTGTTTCTCGCCTCCCCGATTCTCGATTTGACATCTTCGTCCGTTCCTCCTGTAGTTGAGACTATGCTCCCTAGATAAGTGAATGAAGTAACCTCTCTATCAAATCCCTCCCGTTGATGGTGATTGGCGCTGGATGTTACCACTGTTGTTGTTGTTGTTGGTTGGTTATTTTCATAACCTCCGTCTTGTCTATGTTCACCTGGAGTCCTGTCTTCTCTGGCTGCTTCTTCGACCAGTTTGTCGGTTTTCGCTTGTAAGTCTTCGATTTTGTGTGACATCAAACATAAATCATCCACGCGTGAAATCCAGGTCTTCTAGATTCTTCACGTCAGTCCAGGATATCCTTGTCTTCTCGTTTCCCACTGTCTGACGCATAATCCAGTCCACCACAACTAAGAATATCATTGGTGATAATAAGCATCCTTGTCTGACTCCTGTGTTTACTCCAAACGCGTCGCTGAATTTTCCGTTGTGGATCACTTGACATGTGACGTTATCGTACAGCTGTTGAATAAGGTTGGTGAATATTTGGTGTACGCCGTAGTTCTCGAGTAGTTTCCAAATTATTTAGCGGTCAACACTGCTGAAGGCCTTCTCAAAGTCACTACATATATACATATCACTGATATGTTTCGTATAGGATGAAGTGTCTGTGTCCTGGATTCCACTGTTATTCATCGCTTAACAAGCGTCATGACGAAGTAACGGTTATTCTCTTGAATTACAAGAACTTGTAATTTATTATTACTGATAAATTGTTGAAGAAAAACACCCTGAGTACAAATTCTAGATAGTAAACTTAGCTGAATGAACGTTATTTTCAACTCTAACAGTTTAAATCAACGTTTTCTTCACATAAGTAAATATTGAAACCGTTTGAAAACTATTCTAATTCATGAAGCTGAAATTCAAAGGTGACATAAAAGAAGAAATTCTTAGAAACTGTCTTTCTAAAAATGTCTGAAGAAGATATTTCAAGCAGCCACCTTGACGTATCACATTCTCCAGCAGACAGTTTGTCCAGTCTAACGTTAAGGACACAATACAGCTTTCGGCCACCTAGTTGTGTATTTATCAGTTTACTTGTTCGTGTGGAGCAATGTCAAGTCGGTAAATGTTTTCTGAAAAACTGTCCAGGTTGGTTAGCCAGTGGGAAAAAGAAGAATAGTAGCAACTCCATCCTCGAACACCTTGTCAACTCTGGACATCGAGCACTCCTCAAGAATGCTTCACAGAGTTCGTCAATATCGTATGAAAAGACTTCGAATACTCCATCTGTACATAGCTGAATCACTGACTATTCGGGATCTGAAACCGGACCTCTGCATTCAAAAGCGCTACATATATTCCCTCGCCCCACCATGGCCAGAGTAACGTTCTCACTATAATTTTACTTCCTTTTATTATGTAAGTTTACTATTATTGTTATTATTTTCATCATCCAT